ATTTTGCATTAATAGTAAGTTTCAAGAGTGTATTGCTGTACCAATCGGTAGCACCTTTGTCCATGAATGATTTTAAAATCTCGATTTTTTTCTCATTTTCTATTATATTGAATCTTTCACATTCTTTTTCAAAACTACTTATCCATTGATTCGCGTTTGAATTTTTTCCATTAAATTTTTGCAATGGTAAATTCTTTTGCTATTTTGCCTATATTTATTCCTGTTCATTGTTCATTAGTTTTTTGAAGTAATTGTTCTAGTAACTAAATCAGTGGTTGTTCTGAAGTATTTTCCTTACCATTAGTATTATTTTGTTTTTCAATTTTTTCTTTTAAGTATTCATCATTGACTTGTAAATTGTTACCGTCATCCAAATATGCTGCTCTTTAATCATTGGTGAATTTAACATGGCATTTCTCTGTCTTCCCTCCTTACTTAATTTCTCTACCTTTGCTGGTGCTAGTGTTTCTTGGTTTGTTTCAATCTTCAATCATCCGATGTATCAGTTTTTGAGTAGATGAAAGAAAAAGTGGATCAGAGTCAAAGTCTTCTTCATAATCATAACCGACTAAAAGAAAAAAAAATCATCTATAATTTCGTCTCATTTATTTGCTGTATTTTTTTAGTCTGTTTACTTACTCTAAAAGTGGAAGCAGTTAAAATATTTACCTTCTTTTTGGACGTCCGGAGTCTTGAATACAATAGACAGATAGAATAGGCTTAAAACATTACCTTTCACATATAAATTCAGATGTAAAAAATCCAAAAACTCGCAATTCTGCAATTCTAATGTCATTATATCCGTACTTTAGTGACATTACACGACAACAAAATTTTCCAAGACAACATTAAAACGCCAAAAAAAAGTTATTTGATCTTGAAAAGCTCAATCCATCGTGAATGACATTTAGATTAATAAAAAATGCGAACACAGGTTGAGATTACAAGGTAACTAAAATTTATGTATTCATTGAAAGGCAAATTGGCAAATACATCATGTTATAGCTTGTAATCAATAAAAATTATTAGTTGGCGTTGGAATTATCTGTCTTTCTTGTTCCTTATTATAGCTGGTAGCTCATGAGAAAGATAGCGTCCTCGTCCAATGCCAACTTGAGGTTTTTCATTGATTGCAACTTACTTGCGGTGTTGGTTGTGCTTCAGAAGGAAAGGAAGCTATGTGTAGATATTATATAGACTATGCGTTATTTGGGGTGTATGATATTTTCATTTATAAACAACTAGAGACGACATCTAATAATTAATATAAAAACAATAATAATAATCATTTGATCGAGAAAGAAAGGTCCAAGATAAATTCAGTCATGTCATGTGCTAATGCAGATTTCGAACATTCGTATATGGAGTTGCTTGAAGGGTTGCTGATGATCGCCTCAAACAGTGTCCTGTATATGTTTGAGGTTCAGCTAGAAAGAAGCAGCCGCGTGAAGTATCTTCGCTAAGGTGTTGTTTCCAATTGGTTGGACAGTGTTTTTATCATTCTGACGTTGGCAGGCTCTTTAATAACCGCAAAACTTTTGGAACATTCGTTTTTGTATCAGATATGGAAACATACAAACATCCGTCCAAATAAATTTATTAAATACAGATTTATTTTTGTCAAAAAATCAATCTAGTGTATGGATTTAAATATCTCAAAGAGTTCTCGTTTCGAATCAAAATTTTCTGTAATCACGCAATCGGGTCGCAGAGATTCAAGTGGCGTGGTTCTCATAATATAGCAGCGAGTACTCTTACATAATTCTGAATTACATGTTTATAGACATCAAATCATATAAAGATATCAACGTTTATTTGATTATAAAAATCGTTATCATCAAAATCACTACCATCATCAGCGTTATCTTTTAAATTAATGATAAGTTCTTCAGTTATCACGTGACTACAACGTTTTATCCAGTCTTGCGTTGTAAGTAGAGAAAACTCTTCTTCTGCCAACTTTCACACATCGTTTAATTTAAATGTTGTGTTTTCTTTAGCAACCTTATTTTTTACTGTAGCCCATATCATTTCAATAGGATTTAAATTCGGATGATGTGGTGGTTATCTCAGAAGGCTATCCCCATTTTCATTAAAGAGTCGACCAAATTTATATTGCACATATTGTTTCTTGTGATTTTTAATAATTTGATATAATTGATTTTTTAATGTTATTGCTGTTTTCAATGACGTAAATTTTATTTTGCAAAATACCTAATACCTAACGGCATATTACGCATACGTATGTACTACCGCATTCACTTTATTTACATTCTTTGCATTTAATTGTTATTGCTGAAAAATTTTTCGCTTCACTCTTAAGTAGGGGCAGGTGAGAACTGAGTAGGTAGGAAGTATCAATGAGACCAGCGATCTTTCAGTAGTTCGAAGAGATTTAGTAAAGTTTCCTAGAACAGTCTGTCTATTCAATGAAAAATTTGAAGAGTTTGTAAATATGTTTTCTTTGAGATAGTTCTTGTGTCGAAGTGAAACACCAAAAGGCCGAAAGTCCGGAGATCAAAGAGTGAATTTTAAAACACATAAAAACTACTTCTTTTTGGAAAAGCTTATTTATTTAAATATTGTCCTGTAACGTCCTGCGACGTGGAATACAGTTTTTCAATCTATAAAAGTATGTTACGTGTAGATAAAAAGCGAAAAACTTTCTTGGTTAAAACTAAAGAAAACACGATTATTATTTGAAATAAAAATAAATAATATCAAGAACGTGTGCTATGTATTAAAAACATTCATTGTAGATAAGTAAATTATGTAAGTAAACCTTAAAACCACAAATAATCTTTTTTTAACACAAATTATAATTTGTAAATGTTGAGAAAACGCATTTAAAATAATTTTCCTTTGTATTTATTAGTAACAAAAGCGAGTTCACCAATGTGTTATTTACATTTATTTTTACGTTTTCAATAGCACTAACAAGTATTTAAAACAACAAGTAATAATTTGTTTGTATTATTTATTCATTATAATAATCCTATTTATTTATCAGAAACTTCTAAACGAAATAAATTCTAATTAACTAGAAATAACGACTCATCTGGCAACGTTGTAAATTATCTTAATGCTTACTATGAGATTCTTACAATTTTTTTTCGTCGCCCCTATCGAGTGGTAGATTTAAGAATCGTTTTGTTGATGTTGTGGGGGTTGCCTATGCGCATGATTGGGGTCCAAGCTATTCGCCGGCGTTTGACGACCAAAAGTTGGTGCGCCATCTTTTATTCGCCGGCTTGGACCTGTTTGCTCCAAACAATAGCATAGGTCAATCTGTATGTATTTAATCAATGTCCAGATATAACGTGAGAGCTATGAGTGGCTATGGGTCAACCCGTTGTTTTTCTTACGGCCAAAATCATAATACAACTGTTGTGTTATTTTTCATGTTTCAAATTAACAAAATAATATTGAAAAACAGAAATTGCAATGACTGAAACAATTGTGAAGATTTTTTTTTATAGTTGATTGTAAAAGATCTTAAATCAAGGTGGCTTTGAAATTACGTGAATTTTGCCGCCTCGTTGTGATGATTGCGACTACTCGTCGCTTGTCACCAATGTCAACCATAACATCTCTTGTAATAATAGATTTGCTACGTACCTCAAGGAGACGGCAAATTCTTATTAAAACTGGAGTGGCACATTTTTTATGTGCGATTTTTTATAATCATCTTGTAATATTAGACGAAAAGTTGGAACATATTTTTAGCAGAAATAGTGAATTATTCCATGTAGTCGCAAGTTAATGCGTTATTTGCGTTAATTACACACTGATTTTCATTTTTAAATCTATGACAAAACAATAATGGAATTTGTTATATTTCGACCTTTGAATTCAGTGAATTTGATAGTAAATCAAAGTTTGCGTCATGTTCCGCCTGCTTTTCGTATTATACATACTAAAACTTCGTCGAATATGTCTTACTAATAACGAATACTTTAAAACCCCTCAAGGTTAACAGGAACGTACCATATCACACCTTCAAGGTACATTAAATTCTTTATTACGCAAAATAGACCATTTTCGTTAATTAAGATTTTGAGCTAGTTATTTTTTCGGAAAAAATGTATTGGTAACATTGCGAAACCCAATTCCTAATACTACTAGAATTTCCGGTAGACTAATCTACAGAATGGTCTTAAAATTGATGACAGTGTTATTAATACATGGAATATATCGATAATTGGCCAAAGTCATGCATCGACTATTATACATAATTTTCTTGTCTCTCATTAAAACTAGATAATTAGTTTTATGTCAAGAGTTGTTAATTACTGTTTTGACCTGTGGGATTTGGGATCTGTGGTGTCATAATTTGCCTTTAATTTTAGACGGTTTCCCATCTGTGCAATATAAGTTGGATACTTTTATTTAACTAAAAATCAAATTATTAACTATTAAACATTAATTAAAAAAATTGGTCTAAGTTTATTCAGATAGAACTTCCCTTGGTCCTGAAGCACGGTCCGACAAATCCTTTATAATTTAAAAAAAATCGAACGCGGGACCTTCGCGTGACAAGTCTCAGGGACGCTGTTGTTCTGCCATCGAGATAATCATGATTCCCGTGCCATTTATTTATACAATCTGGATTTTTTTGCGAAAATTTGGATGCCTCAGGTAAAAAAAAAAACTCAAGGCGGATTCATAAACCGCAAGTACAAGAGCATGTTTAGATGGCGTTTACTAAAAAATATTAAAGGGACGTCACCAAATTTTTGGTGGAATGATCAGACAAATTTTAGTTAGCGTGTTACCATCTACATGATCTTTATGTCTAGTAGTATCAGGGATTATCTGCCTTTTTTGTACTCTAGGGGTCATGAAACGTCGACAAAACATGAAAATAGCCATTGGTCGACTGGATTCTAAGAATGTAAATGTCTAAAAATATGTAGGCCATTATGTTTATAATAAGATGTGCGAGGGGATTACGTAATCACCCTGTATTATTGATACAATAATATTTATTATGTTTGTAGATGACAATCAGCCCCAAAACGAGCAACAGATCTCCGAGGAGCCCCCAACACTCCTCCCCAGTTTCGTGTGCCCTCTCTGTCCTGCCATGTTCACCGCCCGTCCGGACCTCTTCACCCACCTCCGGATCAAACATGCCGAACAGTCGTCTCTCTTGTGTGGAATGTGTCTGTACCAAGCCTCCACATTAGTCAACCTCCAAAGTCACGTCGAACTCTGCGTCCAACAGCACCAGGCAGTTACCAAGTACATCTGTCAGATATGTCGCTACGGCGACGACAACTCGAAGTCCCTCGAAAACCACATACTAGTACACGACTTCCTGCTCGACGCCTGCAAAAAACAATCGAAAATGTTCGATCCGGCCGACTACATCGAAATGAACGACAATTACGAATCGGGCGGCTCATCGCCGACATCGAAAAGTTTATCGTGCAGTGAGTGCGGTCTAGACGATTTCGAATCGTTCAAGGACTTCAGTACGCACAGAAGAAGTCAACATTCGATTTTCCATTGTGATCTATGTAATAAGTTCTACGGGCGGAATTCGCACTTGTGGAAACACGTGAACCGATTACATAAAGGCCATCCGAGTATTACGTGTCAATTGTGTTATAAAACGAGCGCGTCGAAGTATCACCTCGCCCAGCATTTCAACAAAATCCACAGCACTAAGACCACCTGCAAACCGAAAACCGAGCCGTTGTCTTTATTAGAGAACTCGTCGGAGGACTTCATGTCGCAGAAGTTCCAAGGCTTCGACTTTCAATCGGTCAAGCAGAGTTTCATGAGGCAGGAGATGCTCGAGCAGGAGAAGAAGCCGTCGTCGGAGATCGACGACAACTCGAATAACCGGTTATCGGACCAGGAATACGTCAAACAGGAACCACTTTGTGCCCCGAAGGAGATAGACTCGTCCAGTGACCTATACACTAACATCATAACGAATTACACGCCTCCAGCGAACGAAGGCGAATTCAAGTGTCCGAAGTGCACGAAAGGTTTCCACAAAAAGACGCTCCTTAAAAAGCACAAAAAGAACTGCCGGCCGCGTTTGCAGAAAGATTTGCTTACCCGCTGCAAGTCGTGCGCGCGCATCTTCAAAGACCGACAAAGTCTCGCGAAACACTTAGTCAACTATCATTCCGAGTACGCGTGCGAGATGTGCGGTCAGAAGGTCCAAAGCAAGTGCGAGATCGTGTCACATATACGTTTCCAACATCCGGGTTGTCGCTTGTTCTGCACCATCTGCGGCAACATCCTCAGGAGCGAGAAGGACATGGCCGACCACGTGCGCGACCACATGGACTCCTACGTGTGTCAGTTTTGCGCAGACGCGCTCCCTAGTAAGATCAAACTCAAAATGCATATCCTGAGTTTGCACAGGAAGATTTTGAGCTTGAGCTGCGGGGTGTGTCTGAAGTTGTTCGAAACGCAGCACGTATTGCGGGAACACGTGAGGTTGGTGCACAAGAACGAGTTGGCGCCGCTGACGTCGTGTCCGGTTTGCGGGAAAAATTACGGTTCCAAGTGGAAAACGTACGATCATTTGAATAAGTCGCACGGGCGGATTTTCAAAGCGTGTAAAGCTTGTTTGCAAGTGTTCGACAACGAGGTGCAATTGCAAGCGCACTACAACACGGCGCATACTAATGCTACTGTTATTAAAAGCGAGATTAAGAATAATACGCAGTTGCAGCCGCCGCCGATGCAAGTGCAGAATAATTGCAAGAGCGAGAGCGAGAGGGACTCGAACAGCGACCAAAGCTACGGAGAGCAAGACAAAGACGATTTGGAAGAGGAATCCATGCAGAGGAACGACTATCCGGGCTTTCTAGACATGAAGGACTCGAAAATATCGTTGCTGGAAAAGAGACTCCTAGGAAAAAAAATCGAGGAGAACAAACCGTCGACGAGTACCTCGACGGTGAAAAACAACAAAAAGAAATCATCAGAGAGTCATAATATTAAAAAAGAGGAGATCGATCCCGAGAGCGCGATAAACTACTCCCCCAACCCCCAACATAATAGTTCCAAGCGTACGGTGTACGTCAATAGTAACGACCCTTCGTATTGCGAGATCTGCTTGAAGACCTGGCCCGCCAAGAAACACCTGTGGCAACACTACATCCGTTGCCACAAAAGCGTGGCAGCCACCGTTTGTGGCATCTGCCTAAAAACAAACAACTCCTACAGTGCCCTCCAAGCCCACTTGCGTCAAACCCACCCCACGCTGTTACACGGTCAAGGTTTCGGGTCCAACTTCATCTGCAGAATCTGTGGACGTTACCACAACGCTAGCAGTAAGCTCCGACTGCACATGGCCATCCACGAGAACTTCGACTGGACCCTGCTAGAACCTCCCAAAGAAGAAAACAAAGACGAAAACGGTTACCAAGAGAGCACGAACGAGATTAACTACGAGAGTTTGATCGAGCAGGTGGAGTGCTCGTCGGGTTGCGACTCGGAGACCGAGACGGTGGTGGAAGCGAAGGATAAAGGGGAGTCGAGCTCGGACGAGGACGACGACGACGACGACGAAGAGGAGGAAGAGGAGGAGGAGGACGACGAGGACGAGAGCGAGAGCGAAGTATCGGAGAACTCGCTCGAGGCGCAGATGCTGACTAACATGATGAGGGAGAAAGGGGTGACGGACAACGGAGTTAAGATCGAGTATGGGAGTACGAATAGCGAGGATTCGAGCGGCAGTTGTTTTTCCGCGAAGAGCGACGGCAGCTCGGAGGAGGACGAGTCGACTTCGTCCAATGTGGTCGACGGGAACGGATATCGGTGTAAGCGCGAGGAACTGGATTCGGCAATTCAGTCGATCAAGTACGAGTGCGTGGAAAAGGTTGAGGATGATGTGGATGAGGAGTATTGTGAAATACCGGCGCAGACTCTTAACGATAACGAAATTGAGTCGGCGGTAGGGAGCATACTGTGAACTGTGTAAATATCAACGTAGCTTAGAATTTGATGTTCAGTTTTTTTCCTCATGCATATCTTGTAACGTCGTAAGATAAAGACAGAAAACGAACAACTTGTATATAACTCAATTTTGTCGGTTTATTATGTTAGAAGTATGTATAGTCTAAATTGTAATTTGAAGAGACTGTTTTTTTTAGTACTTTACTTTGGTACTTTTTTTGTATCGATCTGACGCTTGTTTATAGGGTAGATATATTTGCTATTTTTTATATTTATTTTTTATATTGATTTCGATTAGTAGGTACATATACTTACGTCATTCCCATACTCAATAATTATAAGGCTATGTGTATATAAAAGTAATATTCATCATAAGTAATAAATAATTTTGTATGATGTGGGGGTTTCTGTCGTGAGGGTACAACTCTAAAATGTGGACTTCCCTTTAGAACAGATGGAAGATGATATGTATGTTATTAAATTGCCTCTGGACATCACGATTACGGGATCGATGATTCTGATCAAGGCGATCGAGCTCTCCTCGGTTTTCGTTACGTTGTGTTGCAAAATTCCCAAGCTGCACACGTAATCATGCTCGCGGGACAAAGGCTGTTACATAATTGACCGCACCATCCACTTCTTCGCAGACTACCAGGCCAAAGCCAAGCGCATTCCACGAAAAGTAGGTCCCTCGGGAGTTTGTAATCAAAAAGGTTTACCATTGTTGCAGCTGACCGATGAACTTGAAAAGTTGAAAAGAAATCAGAAAGCTGTCCGCGTGGACATTCAGGTGACCGCATTATGCTGGAATTTGTACTCCCGAAGTTCTAATGATATTTAAATGAATTATTGAAATTGGAAAGCAAAGAAATCGTTACGTCAGAGAATCATTCCCACATAAACAAACCACGTACGGTCCAAATTAAAATAATTCGAGAATAAATGTTCAAATTCAAGCTGTGAGCAAATAATTTGGATGCGAGAAAATGCACCATTCATATACATAGTACGAAATAAACTTAAAATTCACCTCCCATTTGGAGCCTATGATGATATTAATTCAACTGGTGATCATTTTCCATAGTTTTGTATTTTCAAACCAATCTAGAAGTATTCAACTAATTGTTGTATTGTTGGTTGCCGGCCACACAAGAAATAATGAGTTTATAGTTTTCTCCTTAGGTAATCTTTTTATCTCAACGTCTTTCTATTTTCTTTTCATTGTTTCTTTATTCTTCATACTCGTTGTAATAGGGACCTCATTTTCAGTTTGCTTAAACTATTCCCTGCCACTTTTAGAGTTTGATTTCAACAGTGTGCTCAGTAATGGTTGTTTCTTTGAGTTTTTGTACCCATGGTCATCGGTTTATATGATTCTAATAATCCTGCAAAAAGAAGTGACCTCATTCTTCAGGAATTTTGAAGATGATTCTATCTGGCTTATCACCTTCATGATAATCTTAAAATAACTCAGCGTAACCCACCAATAACAAGTTGTTTACTGGTCTGTAGTCTAATCAGTTCTGTACTTCCCACATTTTCAGAAAATATCTACAGTTGCCGCCAAAAAATTTCAGACGTCAATGTCATTCAGTCGTCAGATAGCGTAAAGCAACCTTTAGATGTTTCTAACCTAAATATTTGACAGTCATTTTTAACTTTTACATTTGACACTTACATGAATGTAATAAGCCGAGGGGCGGAGCGTAATTGCAAAATCCATATTTCCCTGTACAAATTTACCATTTTAAACATGTTTTCAGTTTCTTGTTGTGAAAAGATGACTACACATATTAAGAAAAAAAAACAAAATATAAGCCCCGCCCACCCACCCTGTCTCAATTGTGATGATTTTTTTATTCATCGTTTTTTTATTCGTTTGGTTTTACAATTTCAAAGTTAAGTTGTAAAATGTTATACAATTTTGATTTATTCTCCAAAAATCTGGATGTCTAGGGTGAAAACTCGACACGGATTCATGAACCACACATATAGGAGTATGCAATCCTATAAAATTAAATATGTAATACCAAAAAAAGGGACAAATTAGTAAGTAAAATGGTACGTTTCACCCCACTTTTTTTTTTTAATTTATAAGGTGACTTATCATTTTTTAATAGGCCAATTTTGACGTTGAAGTGTTTTTTTTTTAATTTTTTTTTAGAAAAATCTCAAAGTCAGTGGTTTCTATATGAATCCACTGGAATCATGGTCAAAATCTTTAAAAGTCTGCGACTTTAAATAAAAATCTGGCTAAATCTTAAAAAATGCATTAAAAAAAACTTCACGGCAAAAATTAACTTTTTTATTTTATAAAAAAAAGCAATAAAAAACTTCAACGTGAAAATTGGCCTGTTTGCTTAAAACATGATAAAGTACCTTAAAATAGATGAAAAAACAATTAAAAAAGCTTAAATAGATGAAAAAAATATATGGGGTGAAACGTACCATTTTATTTTCTACTGATTTCAGTTTAGAAATTTTATCTAAAAAGTCCGATAATCCAATCCGAGTCCTTTCTTAAAATTTATGGCATTTGCCAAAATTAGTTTTACCTTGGCAAGTATTAGCCCCGCCCACCCGCCCCTATTTTCTCAAAGGATATGTCATTTGCCAAAATAAGACTTATTTAGGGCTAGTACTTGCTAACATAAGTCTTATTTTGGCAAATCACATATTCTCTGAAAAAATAGGGGGAGGGTGGGCGGGGCTAGTACTTGGTAAGATAAGACTGATTCTGGCAGATGACATATCCTCTGAATAAATAAAGGGAGGGTGGGCGGGGCTAGTAATTGCTAAGGTAAGACTTCTTGTAAAGAAATAAATATTTTGCAGTTATGCTCCGCCCCCTTGGTTCACAGCGAATAAAAAAAATCATCACAATGGAGATAGGGTGGGTGGGCGGGCTTACATTTTGCCATTTCGTTTTAATATGTGTAGACTTCTTTTCATAACATGAAACATAAACATGTTTAAAATGGAAAATTTGTATAAAGAAATATCGATTTTGCAATTAGGCTCCGCCCCATAATTGCAAAATCCATATTTTCTTGCAAAAATGTACCATTTTAACCATGTTTTAAGTTTCTTGTGAAAAGATGGCTATGTATATTAAGAAAAAAATGGCAAAATATAAGCCCCGCCCACCCGCCCTGTCTCAATTCTGATGATTTTTTTTATTCGTCGTAAGCCGAGGGGCGGAGTGTTATTGCAAAATCCACATTTCCCTGTACAAATTTACCATTTTAAACATGTTTTCAGTTTATTGTTGTGAAAAGATAACTATACATATTAAGAAAAAAAAACAAAATATTAGCTGTAGCGTAAGCTGGAATTTTGAAAGTTTGACATTCCAGCTGTCCGAAATAATGACAATAAAGCATAGACTACATTAAAATTTTTGACATGACAGAAAAGTGATGTTTGAAATTTTTGTCGGAAACTGTAGGTAAGATTTGTTTAACATAAATTGTTGTTCTGAAAATAAAAATATAAAACTCAAAGAGAACCTGCTGTAGAATGAAAAGCCAAAGGAAATTACAAGGGTTGTTTTAACTTCGAAAGGAATGTGTCACAATTATCATAATTTTTGGATTGTTTCTCGGTGGCGCCATCTACTCGAATAGAACAGGACCCTAACATCGAAACGTCATTTTCGGAATTCGGAAATATAACTTTGTGTACAAAATCACAGATTTAGGCTACTGTATCATGTAATGTGTACTTTAATTCTTTGAAGTAACGTTTGTTAATTTTTAGAAAAACTTTGAATGCTGGTCATTGAACCTAACCTAGCTTTTCCACACCGAATTATTTGTACCCTTGTACTTGTAACGGGTATTTTCACATACTCACTTCTTGGTAAATGATGCTGCAAGAATTTTAAAATACCAAGTGATGCTATCACTATCTAACAACTTCTGTGAACTCTGATGGTCAAATTCATTTTGTATTTATTAGCGATTTTATAATAAAGAGATAAGAGATGGTCCGAATTCAGCCATCTGTAAAATTTGTAACATCAATGATACCAAGTGTCAAAAATGTCACCCAAATCCAAAAATTCCATTACAGTCCTGTTTCTTAGCAACGAGAATCCTGCGAATCCTTGAAATTCAAAAAATTCCTTCTTGCCGCCCAACTGTTTCCACCACATCCAAAAATAGTCTCGTTGCCAACGTCATTTGTTTGGTCGATTGCATCGACTTGTCAAAGAATTCAAAATGGCGTCAGCCAACTTGACGTTCTGAACGTCGCAAAAATACTTTTTAATTATTTTCCAGTTCTATTTTTCATTTAAATTTTTGTTTAAAATCGTACAAACAACCGTTTCGTGTAACAAAATCGTTTAATTTTAGTGTCAAGTGTGTAACCTCAATTCGGGACCCCGTCGCAGGAAAATCGAACCCCGGAAAATCGCCCCATTTATTTACAAGATGCAGCAATTCGTCCAATGATCCATCGCGAGGATCCAAACCCACCAAAGCTCACGTTGTCGTATCTGTGATCTCGGAGGCTACAATGGAAGCCATGCAGTATGAGTTGGCTCGGAACATGACCCTATTGTTTTTCTTCGAAAGGCTGCTCGACAAGGGGGAGCCGAGGACCTTGCATGACCTCAGTTGCCAGTTTGGGTCGAAAGGGTTCACTAAGGAGATGAGGCAGATCGCTGGAGGCTCACAAAGTGGACTCAAGAAGTTCCTGGCTCAATATCCAGCTCTTTTTTCCATCGAAGGGGAATATGTGACCATCAACATGTTCCAGAATTGCGGAAGCAAGGATAACGCTGGTATGAATGTAGGGATTTAAGAGAGAGCGGATGCGTTGACGCGGCTTGCAAAGTTTACATTATTCATTAATCTTATCGCTTTTTTTTGTGGGCTGATGGTTTAATAATCATGTTGTAAATTAATGTGCAGGTCAATATTAACATTGCAAACGTTTCATCACTTGTTGATTAAATTATAATTGGGAGTGTGTAGGCAACCAGTTATACTTAGGTATTTAAGTGGGTCCTTTGTGATGATCTTCAGGTGAATATTTTTTATTCTAGAGTAATATTTTAAGACCTCGTGGAATCTAAATGTCACCTTGAATGTGTTAATGTCAAAAATACTTTTATCAGTTCACAGTCAGTGGGAGCAATTGTTCTAGTACCATTCATTTTTGAGCCATATAATGTGAATTTTAGTTTATCACCTTTTAATTACTTCAAAACATTATCAACGATTGAACCGTGATTTCTGATTTTTATAACCAATTAATGCAATAAAATGTAGATTTTGTAATATTTTCCAATGCTTTTTTAAGTGAGTGCACAGTATTTTATTTTAAGGAAAAACAAGGTTTATGATTCACAAAAACCCTGTTGTTAGCTTTCATAATTATTTTAATTTCGTAAAAGGAGTAGCAGCAGGCGTTACTAATTTAAGCACATTTGAATACTTCTGCTAATTGTTGGGTACCAACCAGAGTATGTATCAACTCATGTATTTATTATTACAGGTAATAATTTTGTTCCTATTTTTCTTATAGAAAGTTGACTTTCATTCACGACTTTATATACAGGTGTCCCAGATAATTTAGACTCGAGAATGGATATAAGTATTGAAATTTTGTAGACGCCATTGTTTTTAGCTTGTAGGGGGAAGCTTAATTTAGTACATTGCATATGGCGTCAAATCTATATTTTTTAACGAATTTAGATGGATTTTTAAATTACGAAGCTAAATTATTGAAGTTTGGAGCACCACTATATTATTAAGTAAATAGGACTGTGAATAGCATATATTGGGTGTTTTTAAATTACATGTACAAAACTGCACACCATTGATGAATCATAGTTATCTACAGGTATTATCGCACGCAAAAGTATTGTCTGTACCCAGCACCCAGCAACGAGAGGTATTAGACTTCTCCGCCTCCTCTGTGTGGGTTTTCATAAACCCGTAGCCATTTGGCTAGCCTTTTTGACAAAAACGAACCTATATTTAATGAATTTATTATTTTTAAAATTAATTTTGATTTTTGTTAAAAAACAGACCTGTGGCTGTCTTACTTTTTAGAGTACAGCGCTCATTTGTTTTTGTCTGCCACATTCAATTCTTTTTAAATGACACTCTATTTATTTTTTACAGATTTTTGTAGATTTTTTTTTCTGAATTCATTGATGTATCATAAATTAATACCATATTTCGCTGAAAAGTTGTGAGAAAATCAGTTTAATCATGTTTCATGCTAAACTCTGTTAGCAAACTTGAGTTTTTTTGGCTTTTGTTAATGTCCAGACGTATTTAAATTTGAAAATTAAATTTGTTGTAACGTTGAGAAATTTAAAAATCGAAAAAGTGCAAAATCGAAAAAACGAAATTTGGTAAAATCAAAACATTGAACATTAAAATATTCACAAAAATTGGATAATTGAGAAATCCAAAATTCGCTACATTAAAAAATTAAAAATTTGGAAAATCGAGGAATTGAGAAATAAAAAATCTAAAAAATTGGTTAAACGAAAAATTATAGAATCGAAAGAAACATTTAAAACATCCAAGGTAATAAAAAACCAAAAATTGTGATATACTTAATCGAAAAAATGAAAATTAAATAATCGGGAAAAAGAAAAATAAAAATAAAAAAATTGAAAAATTGAGGAAAGGAAAAACTGAAAAATTGAAAAATAAAAAATTAAAGTTGGCATAACGAAAAATTTTGAAACCGACACATTAAAAAATGGAAAAAATGAAAACATTAAAAATGAAAATTAAATAATCGGGAAAAAGAAAAATAAAAATTGAGAAATTGAGGAAACGAAAAACTGAAAAAATCGAAAAATAAAAAAATAAAAAATTGTAATATCGAAAAATTGCAAAATTGAAAAAAATTAAAGTTGGTAGAACGAACAATTTTGAAACCGAGACATTAAAAAATGGAAAAAATGAAACATCAAAAAATAAAAAATAGAAAAGTTAAAAAACCAAAAATTGTAAAATCGAAATGTCTTGAAATATCTTACAGTTGAAAAATTACAAAAATGAAAAAAACAAAAAATTGTAGCATTGAGAAATTTAAAGATGGAAAAAACGAAATTTGGTAAAATCGAAACATTGAACATTGAAATAATCAGAAAATTGGATAATTGAGAAATCCAAAATTCGCCAAATTAAAAAATTTAAGAATTGGAAAATCGAGGAATTCAGAAACCCAAAATTTTAAAAATTGAGTCAACGAAAAATTGTAAAATCGAAAGAAACATTGAAAACATCAAAGGAATAAAAAAATAAAAATTGTGATGTGAATCGAAAAAATTAAAATTTATTAATGGGGAAAAAGAAAAATAAAAATAAAAAAATTGAAAAATTGTGAAACGAAAAACTGAAAAATCGAATAAGAAAAAAATGTAAGAATTGGAAAATCGAGGAATTAAGAAACATTGAAAACATCAAGGGAATAAAATAATAAAAATTGCGATATGAATCGAGAAAATGAAAATTTAATAATGGGGAAAAATAAAAATAAAAAAATTGAAAAATTGAGCAAACGAAAAACTGAAAAATCGAAAATTAAAAAAATAAAAAATAAAAAATTATACTATCAAAAAATTGGAAAAGTGAAAAAATTAAAGTTGGCAGGACGAAAAATTTTGAAACCGAAACATTACAGGATGGAAAAATGAAAACATCAGAAAGTGAAAAATAGAAACGTTGAAAAAACAAAAATTGTAAAATCGAAATGTCTTGAAAAATCGTATAGTTGAAAACTTAAAAAATGAAAAAAACTGAAAATTGTAACATTGAAAAATTTCAAACTGGAAAAACGAAATTTGGTAAAATCAAAACATTGAACATCAAAATAATCAGAAAATTGGATAATTGAGAAATCCAAAATTCGCTACATTAAAAAATTTAAGAATTGGAAAATCGAGGAATTGAGAAATCCAAAATTTTAAAAATTGAATAAATGAAAAATTATAAAATCGAAAGAAACATTGAAAACATCAAGGGAATAAAAAAATAAAAATTATGATATGAATCGAGAAAATGAAAATTTAATAATGGGGAAAAAGAAAAATAAAAATAAAAAAATTGAAAAATTGAGGGAACGAAAATCTGAAAAATCGAAAAATGAAAAAATAAAAAATTGTAATATCGAAGAATTGCAAAATTGAAAAATTTAAGTTGGCAGAACGAAAAATTAAAAAATGGAAAACACGAAATTTGGTGAAATCAAAACATTGAACATTAAAATAATCAGAAAATTGGATAATTGAGAAATCCAAAATTCGCCAAATTAAAAAAGTTAAGAATTGAAAATTCGAGGAATTCTGAAATCCAAAATTTTAAAAATTGACTAAACGAAAAATTATAAAATCGAAAGAAACATTGAAACATCAAGGGAATAAAAAATTAAAAATTGTGATATGAATCGAGAAAATGAAAATTTAATAATGGAAAAAAGAAAAATAAAAATAAAAAAAATTAAAAATTGAAGAAACACAAAACTGAAAAATCGAAAAATAAAAAAATAAAAAACTGTCATATCAAAAAATTGCAAAAGTGAAAAAACTAAAGTTGGCAGGACGAAAAATTTTGAAACCGAAACATTAAAGAGTGGAAAAATGAAAACATCAGAAAGGGAAAAATAGAAACGTTAAAAAACCAAAAATTGTAAAATCGAAATGTCTTGAAAAATCGCATAGTTGAAAACTTAAAAAATGAAAAAACGGAAAATTGTAACATTGAAAAATTTAAAAATGGAAAAAACGAAATTTGGTAAAATCGAAACATTGAACATTAAAATAATCAGAAAATTGGATAATTGAGAAATCCAAAATGCGCCAAATTAAAAAATTTAAGAATTGGAAAATCGAGGAATTCAGATTTCCAAAATTTTAAAAATTGAGTTAACGAAATCCGAAAAATTATAAAATCGAAAGAAACATTGAAAACATGAAGGGAATAAAAAAATAAAAATTGCGATATGAATCGAGAAAATGGAAAATTTAATACTGGGAAAAAAGAAAAATAAAAAAAAAATATAATTGAGGAAACGAAAAACTGAAAAATCGAAAAATAAAAAATAATAAATTGTAATATCGAAAGGAAACACACGATTAAATACAAGATTTTATTGCAAATATTAAATTATTATTGTTTGAAAATATACCACGTGTGTAAACATGTTTCAAGTTTCTTGTGAAAAGAAGATTACACATACATATTAGGGAAAAAACGGCAAAATATACATACCGCCCACCCGCCCTATCTCAATTGTGATGATGTGTTTTATTCATCGTGAGCCAAGGGAGCGAATCGTAATCGCAAAATCCTTATTTCTCTACAAAAAATTAAAACATGTTTTTGAGGATCGTGTTGTCCAGAGAAAACTATATCTACTAAGTATAAAGAAATCCAAAGATAAGCTCCACCCATCCGTCTCAATTTCAGTCGCGATGAATTTTTCATTCGTTGTCAGACTGAGGGGCGGGGCGAAATTGTAAAATCGGTATTTCCCGTCACAAATTTACCATTTTAAACATGTTTCAATTAATTTTCTCAATTTCTATTGTCTACTACAATGTGCCATCTCGTACGATCAAAGTCAGTGAACTGGTTACCGGTGTCAAAGAAATGTGGTTGTCAATCTTGTACCCGATGATTTAGTTCCTCTAGATAGCTATGTTATTGTTAGGAAAGGTTGAGCTTGCAAAAGGAGTGGAAGAGGGTGTATTCTTATTAATAAGCAGATGATTGGCAATTTTCTGTGATCACCATGATTACGGACACGCCTGGCATTGAAGCACATTTTTTAAAAATGGCGAATAGATCATTTACTTTTATTATAGGGTGTGTTTACGAATCGCCGAACTCCTCCTTTAATGGCGACTTAAGTCTTATTGTTCTGCTTTAAAATATAATGTCAACCTTATGATATCAGCGTTTCGTGTAAAGTAATGATCGCTTTTCTATCAATGCAATAGCAAAAATGCTTTAACATTTGATAAAGATTTATTATCGAACGGGGAATACGATAATTCAATTGGAAAATCTGATCATGTATCGATCGTGCTTTACAATTTATGGGTTGTAAAATTTTATTAGCGTACTAGTACATAGTTATATACAGAATCCAAGATCAAGTTTTATTTTCTTTTACATAAGTGAATTTATCATCTGAGAAATTAAAATTGACGATTTTGTTAATAAACAGCCCTAAATAATAATTGTGATCGAAAAATGAAGCAGCGTTTAAAATTTTCTTTAGTTTATTTCTATAAATAGAGAAATTGGAAGCGGGGAAAGTCTTAGATACGACCTATTAAAACGTTTTATCCTGTTTCACATTTGCTTCAATTTGTTTTCGTAGCAAGTATTTTTAATCCATGTTTATTTTCCCACACTTTCGTTAATAGGTACTTAAATAGAATAAAATTTTACTTCATTGTCAACAAACATCGGTTTTTGTGAGGTTATGGTACAAGCGTATTTTAGAATTATGTTTATTGATTGTTTTTAGCGGTTCAACAACCGCGTTTAATAACAAGCAAGAAAAATTTGTCTTTTTTTTACACTGTAGAAGTATTGTTAAGCTTATCACGCTTCAAATGATGTGTGATTATGTTTCCAAGATCGAGCTCTAATGCGCCATTAAATATTTAATAAGACATTAATGTTTAATTTGATTTCTATAAGCGGCTACAAAAGGTCTCATAAATGATTTCGTAATATTACAATTATTCTGTTTTACTTCCTGAGCGTAAGCTAAAGAAATATTGTAATAGGGTCCATCCGACGAATCGCTGCTTTCAGGTTTTTTCGACGTTTGATGACCTTAGAGTACGAAAAAATAGGTCGCCCGTTTCCGTCTGTCGTCTATGTCAATTTTTATTAGACAGATAATCTCCGAATCTATTGGATTCGCAAAAAATTGATGACGTCATGTCAAAGTTTTTCTGAATAAATTTGTTTTAATTATAATCGTCTTTTTAGATGATCCAGTATAAAGTAATAAAATTCCCGTTGAACGACGAAGCTGTGGCTGGTGTGTACAAAGACACAACAAGAATCATTTTGAATTTTTATTTCAATTTTCAAGAAACCTTATCGAAGTGCCTGCCTACAAAAAATGTTGAAATGAAAGTGTTCGAATTCGAAGACAGCTTTTTTAGTTTCAAGGAAAGCAATTGGAAATTTAATGCACTCTATTGTTGTTGTTTATTGTGATTTACAAGCAAGCGAAGTTTTTAAATGAAAGTCAACTTAAAAAATAGGTTAATGTATCACGAGTGTAATTGAAGATTTTAGAACAGATACTTTTTAAAACGGTGTCCACGTTGACTTACTTGGGTATTGTTTAGTCAGCTGATTTTGTAAATCTAAATACCGGTAACTACCATAACCTTTCTAACCGTTGGGATAATCGAGTTGTATACAACAGAAATTGCACATTTCGATTTTTAGCTTGTTTGCGTGAAATTGGTATGGATTCTAAAAGAGTCTTAATTACTTAAGTAAATTTTGAGTCAACCTTGAAGTGTATAATAGTTATTAAAGTAAAAATTCAGCGTCTATTGTACTAATTCTTTTCTAAAGTGAATGTTTAAGTTTGTAAATAACATGTTATCTGTAGTGCGTTTCATTGAAAGAACCATTTTTCAAGTTATTTGATATTTAAATGAATTTGGCAGCGAGTCCGAAAAAACATTTTACATCTGACATTTTTCCAAAATTTACACTGGGGATTGGACAGATAGAAATGGCTTATACTTTACATCAATTTGGTTTTGAAATTTCGTGAATTTTGCCGCTTCGTTGTGATGATGGACGATTACTTGTCGTCTGTCACATATCAATTTTAACCTAACTTTCTAAAGTTTCTTCACTGTTTGCTATCTGACCCGTTTAGGTCGAATGATAGATTACCACATATCTCAAGGAAGCGGTCAAAAAGATTTTGAATAAATTTTGCCGCTTTTAAAATCTAAATGTATTACTGGTTGCCTACCCACCAATTAAGAAATCGTTACGAAAATCACTCGATAATACTGCACTTGGATGTTACTTTTTCTAATAGATTTTTATCAAAGATAGTTTAAAGCTATTTTAAAAAATGGATTTTGAAATATTCTTGGAAGATATTTTGAAGCATCTATAGTATCACAGTAGTTTCTAATTTTCACCATTAGTTACTCAGAATCTCCATTCTGCACTTAAAAACATTATTCTTTAGATAACCAAATATTGAAAGATCAAGAGGAGTTAGATCTGGTGCACGAAGTGACCATGGAATATCTGTTGTTCCTTTGCTTATTATTATACCAAAAATTTGTTCCAGATAGTTATTAACCTTTCTATTATTTTTCTAGGTGGTAAGGACTACACGACCCAAGCAGTCGAGTACTTCTCCGAAAAACTCGCCCAATACGGCGAAGGCACCGAAGTACCCATTCGCAGCTTATTGGGTCACCGCTCCCAAGCCAGTCCAGAAGTCCGCCACGTGTCAGGCCAACATTTCCACGAATTCCGCGAATTCCTCCTCAAACATCCCGACACCTTCACAGTAGACGACGAGAAAGAAACCGTCGTCCTCACAAACTACACAGCCGTACGGTCACATTGTCCCCAAGAACTGCACTTCCAACCCGTGGTCAAAATCGACCCGGAAACCACACAGACACTGCTAGATTTCTTAGCTCAATGCATAGAAGTCAAAGGTCCTATTCTCGTAGAACAATTATTTCAAATAGTCAGTTGCAACCTGCCCGAAAGCATGTGGACGAACCTGTTCAACACACCGGCTCACTTGACCAGCTTTCTGCGCTTGTTCGCTGACAGTTTCCACATTCAGTCAAATTTAGTAACTTTGTTGCAAGCACCTAAAGTCAGCCAGAAACATATCAACGTTCAGGTTTCCGCGTTAAAGGAAAACGAAACTAAATCCAGCGAACTGGAGGTGAAGAACGCCAAAAATTTGGTGAACAATCAGGAGGTGGCGCCCGAGATTATAGAGAGGGCGCCACCTCCGCCACAGCCTACTCAGTTGAGTCCGAGGTCGATCAGCGACCGATTAAAGCAACCCAAGTTGCAACAGAAACTTTCCGAAGCTCAGAAGAGTTTGTCACCTGAGCCTCCGACGAGTCCCACGCCGCCGCAGTCCAGCGGCCTGGATGCCGACAAAGGCAAAGTGACCTTTAAAATTGGCAAATCTCCGAGGCAGAGTACCGAATCTCCGGAAGAAGCGCCACCACCGACTGATTCCAAAACCAAAACTTCTAACAACAACCAAAGTCTCAAGCAGAGGATCAATAGTCTCGTTCTGAAGACTCTGCAGGAAAATACGGGGAGAGAGAGGCAAAGTCTTCTGAACCATCAAGCTCATAACGAGTCCTGGAAAGTGAAGCTGTTCCAAAACACTCGAGTTATTTGTAGTGTGAAGGAATGCCAGATGGTCGTCGACGATTTAATGGGGAGGGTCAAACACTTACAGGGTAGTCAAAATAGTGATTGGCCTTTCACGGATGACAAGGTTGTGGTGGGTTTGGATTGCGAAGGGATCAATTTAGGGGTAAAAGGGCAATTGACGTTGCTGCAGCTCGCGACGATGACTGGATTTTCATATGTTTTTGATTTAATTTCTTGTCCTGCGATGATTGACGCGGGTTTGAAGAAGTTGCTGGAGAGTCCAGATATCGTGAAGGTACGTAAAAGGTGTAAAGACTTGAATATCTGTCAAAGTATAGTGGGGGTTCTGACTCACTTTTTGCGATATTTGTAACTTTCAGATCGTCCACGACTGCCGCAACGATGCCGTCAACCTCTACAGTCAGTACAACATTACGCTGCGTTGTATTTTCGATACGCAAGCTGCTCATGCCGTCCTTACCTTCCAAGATACGGGTCGGCCGGTCTATAAAGCAAAGAGCGTCGCTTTGAACGCTCTTTGCGAATGCTACGGCGCACCCATCAACCCAATAAAGGACCAACTCAAAAATATATACAGGAGGGACCAGAAATACTGGTCGCGACGTCCCCTAACCCGGGAAATGATTTTATACGCCTCAGCCGACGTCTTGAGCTTGGTGAACGAAAAGATATATCACCCGATGTCGAAAGGCATCAAGGTCGAGAATCGAGCGCTCATGCTGGAATTGTGTCATGAACAGGTAATATAGCTCGTCGTGCTCGCACCGCGGACTAATTTTTTTCTTTAGATATTCATGCATATCGATCCCGATGCGGTTAAAGCTAAGAAGCGCCAGCGGAAAACCGAAACCGAAGTAACCGAACTTCGCCAGAAGCTATCTCAAGCTACCAAAAGCGTGGTGCTTAGCAATCGCGAGGTTCGGTTACTGCGCTACATCGAACTAACCGACGACGAAAAGGAAAAGTTGAAGTCGTCTGCGAAGGTGGCGAAGAAACTGGAGAAGTTGGAGAGTTTGGGGCAGGATAATAAGGACGAGGATGAAGACGAAGAGGAGGGTGATAATGATCCGGATTATCCGAGTTTGGATAGCGATATGACCTCTCCGCGGAACTCCGAGCCGACGAGTCTGACCGAATCGATGCAGCTTGTCGATTCGATTCTGAACGATAGTAAGATCGATAGGTTGGATAAGTTGGATCGGTTAGAGTCGATCTTATCGGCAGCTGCGTTTTTACCGACTGAAAATAACGAGGGTGTTAAATGTCATTGTAATTGTCATAATCGGTTGAGCAACGGTTATAATAACGGGGAGAGGGTGATTTCACCGACGAATAACTTTAAGAGTGGGAGGGAGAGTGAGGTTGAGGTTAAACATAACCATGCGAATGTTGGGACGCAAACTTTGAGTACGGGAGATATAGTTGTCACGAAAATATTTTTCAACGAAAATGCCGAGTGAGTAGGGTTTCAAAAAAAGCACTAAATTTATTATATTAAAGGGACACGGTACTATGTAGGTTTTTAGCTGGATTAATGCTCAATTAATAGAATTTAACGGAATTAACTCGTTGACGAGGTTAGGTATGATTTTTTATAACGGTGGCCTTAATCACCCCCTTTATTGTTAAATTAATTGTGTATATATGAGTTTGTCGAATTTATACGAATGGAGCTGTAGTGTACGTTAGTATGTATATATTAACGTTTTTTAACATTTTTTATTTATTGTGTTATTTTAATGTTACTTAATTGCTCGATTCACCTAATTGAAGATTTATACTATATATTGAGAAGCCATATTTTAAATAGTTGTTATTATTTAAAAAATGTGGATTTTATCGATAATTACTTAATTAGTTAGATACCAAGGTGATACTGATTTTTATATAATTTATTTTAGTCTTTGTTTCTTAAAGATTTGGTTTAAGACAACTAAGACTAATATGAACGATGAAAGAACATGGTATTAACATTATTAAGCAATATTTATGTGTTATTAACATATATTATTTTTGCTGGTAGAGGATTTTTTTATTATACTGTTCGTAATATTGATAAAAAGAACAATAAATACAGTACTAAAAACGAATACATTTTGTTATGATTTATACCTTTCCCTCGGAGCATCCTACCTTTGTCCTCTATTGTTTTGTGGCGGGAAGACGTTCTTTCATGCAAGCAAGCATACACTGCGTGTGAGTAGAGAGCGCAAGAAATAATAGACAAAATTTTTAAGAGGGGGCAAAAAAATTGCGCCCCCTTTCTAGGAGGAAAGAAGCTACGAGCGAAGACGACACGGACTTGCCATCTCGCATTCACTCCTCAGCCCCAAAACCCCCTATCGTATATTCACTGACTTATTACATTTCAAATGAAACACCTTAAAAAAACACAAAATCCTATACATCTGTTTGGAATCAATGCACATATTTGAATATCACAAATTTATTAAAAACAAAGCAAAATCTGAATTAAAGTAACTGGATGCAAATACACAAATTATTACGGGCGTGTGGCGTCAGATTTAAAGTTACGGCAGTTAACAGGAGCACAAGAAAAGTACCCCTGGGGCGTTCTAGCACAAACCAACTAATTTAAACTAGCTCTTACCACGTGTTTAGATTCACAAAAACACATTCAGACTGACGCTCCGTCATGCCGCCCTCTGTCTAATCCTAATCACCAACCCTTTAACTAAAATCCATAGCGCTACTAACTGTCCAACTATCTAGCAAGCGTTACCGTGCACCTGGTTGCCTATGTTTAACGATTTTTTTTATGAAACATTTTTTTCTTTCTCAAATTCAAATTATTCAAATGCGATTTTGCGCCGCTGTTTCTTAAAATAAGCCTGCCGTATATTATACTTTACATCCTGGCTTCGCAAAAAGCCAGCTGTATTACCAAAGTTCTCGATAACCGGGCTTGAGAATTTCAAGAAATTAATTATACGTTACACTTCCTCGATGCTTTTAACCCATAGAGGGGCCTGTCTAATTTGCAGACCACAGTTTATCTTGCAGACTGGGGGTTAAAAATGCTGCAATCAAGTCGAAATTCGACATTTGCTTATTTCTTAATATGAAGATTGTTGGTACAAAATTTCAACCCGTTCGTAGAAACCCTTAAAAACCACCCCCAAAACAACCTTGCAGACTGGGGCTTAAAAATACTCCAATCAAGTCAAAACTCGAGATTTGCTTATTTCTCAATACGAAGATTATTGATACAAAATTTCAACCCGTTCGGAAAAATCGTTAAAAACTACCCCCACAACAAGCTTGCAGACTGGGGCTTAAAAATACTCTAATCAAGTCAAAATTTGACAATCGCTAGTTTTTCAATGCGAGAATTATCGGTACAAAAATTTCAGCCTATTCGAAGAAATCCTCAAAAATCACCCCCAAAACAACCTTGCAGACTGCGGATTAAAAATGCTTCAATCAAAGCAAAACTCGACAGTCGCTTATTTCTCAATGCAAAGATTGTTGATACAAAATTTCAAGCCGTTCGGAGAAACCCTTAAAAATCACCCCCAAAACAACCTTGCAGACTGGGGGTTAAAAATGCTCCAATCAAGTCAGAACTCGATATTTCTTAATTTTTCAAAACGAAGATTGTTGATACAAAATTTCAGCCTATTCGAAAAAACGCTCAAAAATCACCCCCAAAACAACCTTGCAGACTGGGCATTAAAAATGCTCCAATCAAGTCAAAATTTGATATTGGCTTGTTTCTCAATATGAGGATTATAGATACAAAATTGCAGCCTATTCTAAAAAACCCTCAAAAATCACCCCCAAAACAACCTTGCAGACTGCGGATTAAAAATGCTTCAATCAAAGCAAAACTCGACAGTCGCTTATTTCTCAATGCAAAGATTGTTGATACAAAATTTCAACCCGTTCGTAGAAACCCTTAAAAACCACCCCCAAAACAACCTTGCAGACTGGGGCTTAAAAATACTCCAATCAAGTCAAAACTCGACATTTGCTTATTTCTCAATACGAAGATTGTTGACACAAAATTTTAACCCGTTCGCAAATACCCTTTAAAACTACCCCTAGAGAGACTTGCAGACTGGGGGTAAAAAATACTTCAATCAAGTCAAAACTCGAGACTTGCTTATTTCTCAATACGAAGATTGTTGATGCAAAATTTCAACCCGTTTTGAGAAACCGTTAAAAGCTACCCCCAAAACAACCTTGAAGACTGGACCTTAAAAATATTATTATCAAATCGAAACTTGGTGGTTAGTTTTTATCTATACGAGAAGTGATAATGCAAAAAAAAACAGCCTTTTTTAAGCTGCTCTTAACAAGTACCCCAAAGCTATCTTTCATACGGGAGCTTAAAAATACTCCAACTGAGTCGAAAGTTACCACCTGCTGAGTTCTTTACACAAAAAATTAGCATATCAAATTTTAGTCACCTTGAAGCAACTTATAAAAATGATTGATAGTTGAAATTCATTTAAAGTACAAGTAGCAGAAAAATTTCAGACACATATAAAGAGACAGTACATTATGTCTAAAGTAGGTGCGTACCATAGAGGTAGAATGAGAGGAGGGAAGATTGTTTGAAAAAATGCCTGGTACTGCGCCTTCTACTAGGGTCATAAATGGTTCTTCCAGGTCCTACGAGAAACTGGTTGTTCCAGTGGCGTGCTCGAAAGCGTTTGCGTGATACTAGGCATAAAACAAAAATAATTTCATAAGAAAGCATATAAAAGCAGCAGCAGTAAATTTACTTGAGTATTTGTTAAGATTCGTTGCTACGGTCGTTGTGTTATCTCCACCTTTGCGCAAACCGAGCTAATTCCTACAATAATTAATCATCTAATGATCTTAATATGCATTGTTAATTATGAAAAATATTGTTTTGTTACCTTTTATAACTGTATTTTAATGCATATACACTGACCGGCGAAAAACCTACCACGCTGTAAAATTTCGCAAAACCAAACTTTAGAAATTTTTAATTTAACTAGTGATCGTTATTTTATTAAAGAATCATTCACTGTTGACACATGATGTATAAATTAGCAACAAAAAAGAAGACAAATAAACGCAGAATTAAATTTAATTTAACAAAATAACAGACAAAGCGACAATTTGGGAGATGTCTGTAAGAGTTAACGGCATTATTTTCGCGTGAAAACGTTTATTAACTGCCAAACTTATAATAAAATGATGAAAAACACTGTTTACAACAACAGCCTCCTTTATTATTTTAATTAAGAAAATATCCTAATTGGTCTGTTTCTGTTATTTTGTTAAATTAAATTAAATTTTGCGTTTATTTGTCTTCTTTTTTTTGTTAATTTGTACATCATGTGTCAACAGTTTATAAATAAGGTATGTAGTGCCATTGGAAAGATTAAAATCATGTATATTTTCAAATTCTATATTTTTTTTCTTGAATTTTCAGATCTATATCGTTATTTCCATCTAAGAATTTAATTTATCAATACAACTAAAATTTCCATAAATACATGCACTCAACTAGATTAGTCTTAACTGTAGTCGTCTTTACTTTTACTAAGATTTTCCAATTCTATGTCACTTTCACCGCTAGTACGTAAAAGAGTTTTGAGAAAAATACTCCTATCTTTTTTTTAACTTAAAGTGCAATCGAATCAAGTTACATTTGCAACAGCGTAACCAAACAACCTTTCTTATTTCCCATTTTATACAATTTATGTCATAGATTTATGTCAATTAACGCTTAAACAATGTCATACAAAATAGAGTTGCAAAGAGCCATATACCAGTTAGTTACCCAAGTATCTAAAAGTGAAATTGTGAATATATTTTGGACCATATATATTAGACGCGCAACTATATACAGAACAATTAAAGACTGCGAGGTAGCAATACCACAATAAGTTTAGAAAGATTAAGAAGAAAGACAAGAGCCTGGAACATCAACAAGAAGATTGGCTCTATTGTTTAGAGTTCTTATATAACAGTTTCTAGAGAAATAGGCAAAAACAACTTAAAATACAGCAAAAGAGCTAAATGTTCAAAACATACAGCATCGCAGCTAGACAGAATTCGTAGATGTTGCTGGCTATTGAGAATTCATCATTTTCTGGACAGTCGTGTGGTTGTGCTGGGTGATGAAAAATATTTTACGTTTGCCCATTCCGAGATGGAAGGTAACGATGGATTTTATACAAACAATATAGAAGAAATTACAAGTAAAATTTAAATCGAAGGCAAAGTTTGAAGATAAAATTTTGGTTTGATGGGCTATATCTCCGGCCGACGTTTCAGCACAATTCATTGGTCGTACTAAAGGTGACGCGGTCAATACATAACAATATATGGGAACACCATAATAACGACGATGTAATATTTTGGCCAAATTTAGCAAGTTGCCATTACACTAGAATGTCCAGGGATTGGTTAGAAAGCAATAATATAAGTTTTGTACCTAAGAAAAGGTAATCCCCCCATAGTCCCCCAGTGCGAACAATCGAAAACAAAATTTGGGGAATACTAAGTAGAAAGGTTTACAACAACGGCTGGGAAGCCAATTTAGAAGAACAATTTACCAGACAGTTAGAGAAATGGACGTGGACACCATCCAAAGGCTGTAAGACCTACATATGAAGACAATTTTGCATCGTATTGAATATAACGAATCTTTATCTGTTTTCCCATTAATAATAATTAATTAAGAAATTAGCACATTTCTGGGTTCTTTTTGAAATTCAAATAAAATTAAGTTTGAGCTTCCTATTATTAATTTAAACTTTCTCTCAAAACGTTTTTTTTTACGTTAGGTTTCTCGGAAATTAAAAATGTCTCTAGTTTTCTTTAAAATATCTTTAAGATTTTGTTTCCTCTGAATTTTAAATTTTCTCTTCTGGACACCACTAACTTTGTATTTTTTGACTGATGATGAAAGTTTAATTATATCTCAAAGAACTCAAAACCAGCATATAGTATGTACTTGATGAACCAAGTTAACAACAAAAATGACGTGTAAAAACGCACAAAA